TTTTTTTTTTTTTTTTTTTTTTGGCTGCTTGGGGCGGCCAAAACCCTGGAGCCGGCCCTGGGTGCCTGGAGGGTCACACCCTGGCCAGATAAAAGGTGCAGTGGGTCTGTTTCTTATCTCTCACCGGTTTTACACCGGTGGGACCCGTTTTACCAAAGTTACTCAGTGAAAGTGAGAGCCAGATCTGACCCAGTGGGTAGATCCAAGTAGAATCGGAACTCCACGCCCACTATGACTAATAATGAGGCACCCTTTTTCAGCCCTCCTTTTGTTTATAGTGGTCCCTTTTAGCAAATTTCACAGAGTAGAGAGGCTGGAGAGGTCATACATGAGCCTGTTAGAAGCCGGTTTCACACCTCAGCATCAATGCAGCGGCGTCAAACTTGGATGTCAGTGCCTGATGTGAAAAAGCCCAGCGCCGCCTTTCTTTCTTCAGAAAGTACCTGTGTGTAGGGAGAGACAGTCACATCCCATTAGTGGGGTTTGTCAGTTAGCTCAGGACAGACTCGTTCTTCTCAGCACAATTTCCCATGGTGATGATTTGACTTGTTTATTGATTAAGCTGTTAAACGCGCCTCTCTGCAGCATTAATAAATTCCCGTGCCATTAAAGTGTGAAGTGATATGATGTTAAACTCAAAAAACACCTCTCTCTCCCAACCCACTCATCCTCCCAGAAGGCTGAATAAATAGATCGGCCTGGCAACAAGCCTGGCTTCCCAAAACAAATTAAGGCACGTATGATGAATGGCATCTTAATTCCATGCAATCGTTAACTTAATTAGTTACTTTATGAACATCAATCTGATTTAATGTTTCCTGCTGTCGACTTAATTCTGTTTTGAAGCCAACTCATCACATCTGACACCAAAAAAAGCGAAGGCCAAATTTTTCAAAATTGAGTACTTAACATTAGACACCGAAGTCTGGTTTTGGACACCTCCATAAGTTGCTTGATTTTTTTTCAGAAGCTCTGAGCACCAGCTCTCGTGGTTTTCCGTTGAGTCAGCACCTCTGAAGATCAGGCCACTTTGATTGTAGTGCCTAAATAAGGATTTGGGGGCCTTTCTTGAAGCACCTGCCTTTGAACGTGTTGGCCTGAGACAGCATTGCTTGCTTTGCCATCTCTGCACTCTGTCGGCTTTTCCAGTGCAGTGTATCATAACAGCCTTTCTTCTGCTGCTGAACCAGGTGCTGTTATTTCACGACCAGAATTATGGAATTCATTACGAATACACCATTCCTGTCAACTATACCGCCGAAAACAGAAGCGAGCCAGAAAAACAACAGGATTCTTTGTACATCTGGACACACAGCGGATGGGAAGGATGCAGTGTGCAGTGTGGAGGAGGTAAGGCCATTTGGGAACGTGGTGGGATTGTTTTGTACAGTGTTTGCCAAGGCAGGCAATAAAGAGAGGTGAATGCAGAACACGGGCTGCAGCGCTGCCAAAGCACAGACATCACGAGGAAGGCTAAGCTACGGAAATGGCTGTTGGCATGGCAATTGGGTGAAAGCTCGCTTTCACCAGATCGCCGAGTTCGCAGCAGCCGTGCAGTCTATACTCGGCCAGTGTTCTGGCAGGGATGCTGCTTTGTCGGTTCATTACTATGCAGTGGAACTGCACCTGGTTTAGTGCTTCATGGATGGCTCAAGGCACTTATATGCAGCCCCATATCTCAAGGCTCAGTCAGATTCTTGGAGCAGGGTTTTCGCAGGCATGCATGCATATTTGCTGAAAGAAACTTCCTTCTCCAAGGATGAAGTAGGAGCAGTCGCACTGTGACAATTTGCTGTAGATTGCATCAGAAACCCTTAACCAGCTAACCACATTAGCACCCTGCAGATCACACTTTTCAGTTGATTTTTCCTGGGGCATTCTGGGATAGATTCACGAAGCCAGAGGGGGACTTGATCCCCACAGAAGACAGTTAATGCTGCATCTGCCACTATATGTTGGCGTTCCGTATATGGGAGAGGCAGCTTTAATTCTCCCTAGGGAATCAGGTCACACCCTGGCCAAGCTCCTTTCACGACTAGCACTGAGTGGTTGGTGCCAGCTCCAGCAATTCATCCCATCATGAAGATACCACAAAGGAGTTAGAGTGCTCAGGTTAAAAGTCTCACTCCTTGTCAGGTTTGCCACCCCCAGGATCCTTCAACCTCAGTACACTAAATGCCTGTATTTTTTTTCCTTATAAAATAGTTGATTTAAAAATTGACTTGTTTGCTTTCCTTTTACAATAACAATTTCTCCCAGTCATTGAGCCCTCATGAGAGCTAGTCTTAAACCTGTTGACAGGGTCTTAGGTACAATAGGCCTTCCACACAGTTAGGGGCTCAAATATCACGTTCTGGCAATATGGGTCCCACCATCAGTAGGCTCGGATATGTCAGTTCTTAAGCACTTTGGTTTTCAGACACATTTCAGTACTTGTTCTTGGTGGAAAGGTCTTCTTCCCTTTGAGACTTTTAGATTGGGACTCACTTATGGTTCTAAATGTGATCAGGGACTTAATTCACACTGGACTTTCCAGTGACAGGTCTTAATGGTTTTTTTTGTTTGGTCACGAGCATTCGGTTTGTCAAGTATATAAAACAGCCAGACGTAAGGTTATAATGGAAGACGCTTGAGGAGTTTCCCCCAAATAAATATCACTAGGGCAGGTTTGCATGGTGAGTTGGTAATGTTTACATCGTGACATCATGGTGTTGACTCACTGTGTTGAAAGGCAACTATCTCACTGTCACAACGCAACATCTTCGCGTCAAAGTGGATTGTTAAGCCCAAGGTGCCATGTTCATCAGTGGAGTTGAGCCCCCTTCTCAGCTGATGCAGAGACATAGGTTGTGTGGAAATAGTAGAACCATTCTGGAGTGTGGTGTCTTGAGCCGGAGTGTGAAATTTAAGGATGAGGTTCTATGGAGGTTGGACAACAACCAAACTGGCCATGATGATACCAATAAGATTTGGGGAAAATATCCAAATATATTACAGAAAGTGCACAAGCTGTCTAAGGCCAGAGGAAATGAGGGAAATTGGTGGTGGCCCAGTGACATGCAGGAAGCAGTAAAGAAGAATGGCAATGGCAAAAAATAAGAGTGATGGTAAGTTCTGAGTAGTACAGACTGGTACAGAAAATAGCTAAAAGAGCAGTTGCAGAAGCAAAGGGTCAGCCATTTAAAGGACTACTCAGGACTCCTAATGAAGGAAGGGGAAAAAGGAATATGTAGATTAGCCAAGATTAAGCAAAGAAGCACAGAGAACTTGGGAGCTGTGAAGTGTGTCGAAGATGAAAATGGAAGAGTACTAGGGGAAGATGGTGAAATCTTTAGGTGGTGGCAGCAGTTTTATGAGAAACTGCTCAGTAAAGAGAATGTGAAGAAACCATTGGGGGAAGTATGCACAATCAAAAACCGGACAAGACCTATCACCGCAGTGGTCTCAGACAGTGCTAAAGACGAAGGCTGTGGGAGCAGATGTACCAATTGAGGTATTTAAAGCATTAGGCTATGAAGGAGTGGTAATGATGACAAACTTTTTCAACTTAATTCTCTGTACTGGAAAAATTCCCGGCGGGTGGAGGAAGAGCGCATTGGTCCCTAACTTCAGGCATAAAGGAGATGTGCAAATATGGAGTCATTACTGACCCATCAAGTTGATGAGTCATGCAGTGAAGTGTCTGGAAAGAATTATTGAGAAAATACTTTGGGAGGCGCTGGAGCATCAACTTGGATTTGTGCCAGGAAGGCCAACAATGGCGGGAGAAATGTGGAGAGAAACGCAAGGAATTGCACTTAGTATTTGTGGATTTAGAGAAGGCTTATGACTGAATTCCTAGACAGTTGTTATGGAGGTGCCTATGGGTACACAGTCTGCTGGAGTCATGTTCAGACTATCATGGTCATGTACCAGGGAAGCACAACAATAATGAGAAGCAGCTGTGGCTACAGTGAGTCATTCACTGCCAGGGTAGTCCTACATCAAGGATTAGCCCTTAGCCCGCTCTTATTTGTGATTGCAATGAACACCTTGAGGCAGGAAATTCGGGGAGAGGCTCCGGGGAGCATGCTTTTCACCGACAACATTACTTTGTGCCCCAAAGATAAGTATGAACTGGAAACAGCCATAGAGCTGTGATGGGCTGCATTAGAAGAAAATGACTTACGCATCAGCTCACAAAAGATGGAGTACATAGAATGCTTTGAGGGACAACTAGATGGTATCAAATTAAAGTCCATGCAACAATTTGAACACCTTGGGTCAGTGTGGAGCCATGATCAGAATGTGGATGAGGATGCTAGCAGCCACATGAAGAGCCGTTGGTGGAAGTGGAGGGAGTGATAGGAATTCTTTGCAATACGAATATGCAAAGTAAACTAAAGAGCAATGTGAATTAAGAATAGGATTAGGCTGGTTGGAATGCTGGCCAGTTTGGAAGAGAGAAGAACAACTACCTCACACTGCCAAATTGAGAATGCTGAGTCAGATAATTGCTGATAAGCTATGCAGTGAAACAGTAGGAGCCATGATGAAGGTGTGTATACACACACACACACACACACACACTGGAAAAACCAAGGGAGTATTGGCTGGGCCATGTGAGATGATGAGATGTGGGATATATTGGCCAGAGACTACATGAGCTAGTTTTCACGGGACAGAGACCTTGAGGAAGATCTTAAAGAAAGCAGTTTGAGACACTGAAAGAGGACTTGAAAAAGGTTGGTGTCAGCTTGGAAGATGCACTTGACAAGAACACTTGGAGATGGTGAACGAGAGCCACCAACCCCAATTGGCGGGATACAGCAGAGAAGAAGAGACTCTTGAGCCTGGTGTGTCAAATTGGCAGCACTTTTTAATGTAGTACATCCAGAGGACCAGAAATGATATATATTTTAGCTGCTTATTTCATTCCCTTGTAAAATTTGAGTAAGCCCAAACTGCAGCCTTTGAAGCCTGCTCATTCCCATTCAACCTTGTTTTTGCTGCATTCAATGAGTTGGATGTTAGTCAGGATGAAGGGGAAGAAGCAGCAGGAGCCCAGCTGTACAACAGGAAGCTCAGGCTACGTGGTGGATCTCAGGTCATTATTAGTCATCCACAGAGGTGGCCGGTTGTCCGGCTCCACTCTACTTCCCTGGAGCATCTGTGCTAGGTGATGTATGGGTCCCAGCAGCATGTGGAGGAGGAACCTAAACCAATGCAGATTGCTTTCGAGGTTGTATTTACGTTAAGAATTGAAAGACGTAGCTCAGTATACTAACACTGCTGGAGCAGTCGCAGTCATGATTGTTGTTACGGCCCCGCCAAATTAACGGCCATGAAAAACGCATCATGAACCATGAAATCTGGTCTCCACCATGAAATCTGGTTTTGTATGTACTTTTACCCTATACTATACAGATTTCACAGGGGAGACCAGTGTTTCTCAAACTGGGGGTCCTGACCCAAAAGAGGGTTGCGGGGTGGGGATTGCAAAGTTATTGTAGGGGGATCATGGTATTGCGACCCTTCTGTGCTGCCTTCAGAGCTGGGAGGCTGGAAAGCAGCAGCTGCTGGCCAGGCACCCAGTTCTGAAGGTAGCACTGCCAGCAGCAGCGCAGAAGTAAGGGTGGCAATGGGTGGCCAGAGAGTGGCGGCTGCTGGCCAGGGGCCCAGCTCTGAAGGCAGCAGCGCAGAAGTAAGGGTGCCAATACCATACCATGCCACCCTTACTTCTGCGCTGCTGCTGGCGGTGGCGCTGCCTTCAGAGCTGGGCTCCCAATTAGCAGCTGCCCCCTCTGAAGGCAGAGCTGCTGCCCAGCCAGTAGCAATCCAGAAGTAAAGATGCCAATGCCACAACCTCCCTACAATAATCTTGCCGTGCCCCCTCATTTGGGTCAGGACCCCTACAATTACATCCGTGACATTTCAAATTTAAATAGCTGAACTCATTAAATTTATTATTTTAAAAATCCTCTGACCATGAAATTGACCAAAATGAACCGTGAATTTGGTAGGGCCCTAATTTGCACCTTTGCTGACAGGACAGAGCAACCCAAAGAGAAGGCAGAGAAGACAGAAACATCCACAGGGCTATTAGTTCTGTATGCTATAGGTAGAGGTAGGCAGAAAGAATTTAGCTGTAGAGAAGATTTGTTAAATAACATGTTGATCTTAAATAGTGAACAGCCTCCAGCAATTAACTAGCTTACTGGTTTGCCATTGTTTTTGGTTTGACTTTTAGGTGAACGTAAAACCATTGTGTCCTGTACTAGGATCGTTAACAAGACCATGATGCTGGTGAATGACAGTGACTGCCAGCGTGTGATGCGCCCTGAACCCCAAGTCAGGAGATGTAACACACACCCCTGCCAGTCACGGTAAGGAGTTTAAAAAACAACTAACATCCCTATTTCTCGCAACCACACTTCTCCAGAGCAGCTCTCCACTGAGCACTGTCCAAGTGTCTGACGGCATTTGGGCACACCGTTAACTGCAACATCCAGCTGTAACACTCATTTTTCATTTGTTGAACAGATCAGATTTTCGTTACCTCAGAGTCCATTTAATTTGTGATCAGTACAGCAGGATTCCCTGGAAGCTACATACATATATAATTTATTGGGGGATTGTTTTTTTTCTTCCCCTTAGCTGCATAATCTGGGAGACCAAATAGTTTCCTATATTTAGCTACACAACATTGCAGTGATGGCAAGTCTAATCTTGTTTCTTTATTCAGTGCAGAATAGGGCTTGATTAGTTGTCACGCCCTGTTGAAAAGAAAAACATGGCCTTTAAACCTTACCTGGTGTGAGATACCGGGGTGCAGTCCAGAACAGTGAGGGGGCAGTGTCACCCCTGCCCTGCAACCATGGGGGCCTTACAATTCCATGCTGAAGTAGCTCCCACCTGGGCTACTCACAAACAGCCTTCCAGCATGCAAGCCAGACCCTAAGTGTCTGCTTGTAGCTGCAGCCTGCCAGCCACACTTGGGTTACGCTCTGGCTCTCACCAGCCTTGGTTATTCTGCAGGGTGACCCCAACACACCTTTAGTCTTAGATTTTCTCCCAGAGATCTATGTCCTGCACTGCCCAGCCCTCTCCTGGAAAATACAAAAGTCATATTTGGTCTGTTGTTTCTTGAAAAGAAATAATATGCACACAACTTGTCACCCCAAATGGAGTTTCCCAGACTCTTCAATTTAAACCTGCTGGATTAGATAAAACACGTTTATTAACCACAAAGAGAGATTTTGAGTACAAGGAATTGAGGCATAAAGATCAGAAATGGTTACAAGAAAAATAAAGATAAGACATTGACTGTAATACCTAACTCAACAAACTGTATCAGATTCAAGCAAAGTTTCTCACCATACGCCTTCAGCAGTCTTCCTGACCAAAGCCTGTAGGTCAGCACCCCTTCTCCCAGAGTCCAGTCCTTTCTTGCTTTTGGTGGCATGAATGCAATGGGCATGGAGAGAGAAAGGGGTGTCTTGCAGTGTTCCCCCTTTGAGACGCATTACCAGCTGAGAGCAACGTGACAGGCAGTCTGTGTGGAAAGGAACTCCCATGTTGTTTCTTTGCTAAGATGTAGATTATTTTTTTTTGCCCTTTTCCTGCCAAAGAATGGCCACTTAGCAGGTAATGGTCCATCAGCCTTGTTTACACCTGTCTGAGGCATCAGTTTACCCTTTGTCTTTGAGGAACTGGTTTGGCCGCTCCCCAGACTTCTCTGGAAAACCTTATTTTTAGTCATAATCTCAGTTTGCGTCTATAACTTGACATATAATGCTGATATGTGCGTTTTGCCATGATATTATTGATCAGCAAATTATGTGTTTTTAAATGATACCTTACAAGGCATAGTTTGTACAAAGATTATTACAATAGCGTGTCGGGCGTGAACACAGGGATATATTCTGTCACATCTGGTCCTCTGCTGTATTGTGTGTCTGATCTGCACCATCTGACTAATTTAGATTGCAAGACCGTTATGTGTGTCCCACAGTTCTGAGCTCAGCTCCTGATTCAGGAAAGCACTTCTGCACCTGATGAACTTTAAGCGCCAGCTTAAGTCTCACTGTGCCTTGTATAGCTTCTGTTCAGACCTTTGCTGTCACTCAGTCATATTGGCCTTTCACACTCCTTTCTGTGTACTGCGCAAGGGCTTTCAGGATCAGAGCTCAACAGCAGGTGATCCCAGCAGTTACCGTGGTGACGGCTCCATGCCTGCTTGATTCAGTGCACTCATGCTCTCCCGTTCCTTTGTCTGGAACATAAGAACGGACATACTGGGTCAGACCAAAGGTCCATCTAGCCCAGTATCCTGTCTTCCAACAGTGGCCAGTGCCAGGTGCCTCAGAGGGAATGAACAGAACAGGTCATCAAGTGATCCATCCCCTGTCGCCCATTCCCAGCTTCTGGCAAACAGAGGCTAGGGACTCCATCCCTGCCCATCCCAGCTAATAGCCATTGATGGACTTATCCTCAATGAACTTATCTAGTTCTTTTTTTGAACGCTGTTATAGTCTTGGCCTTCACAACATCCTCTGGCAAGGAGTTCCACAGGTTGACCCTCGTTGTGTGCAAAAATACTTCATTTTGGGACCACCTCAGTTTCAAATGAGCCAGCTGGCCTTCCTCTCTTCTTTTGAATCTCCCCTTACAACCCACTGCTTTCCCAAAGCCCTCCTGTGCGAGCCATGTCTTCTATCTCTCTAATGCTGTGTCTGCACTAGAGAATGGAACCCGTGGGAGAGCACCAGTGTCCTCACCAGTAGTGTGCTCTGTCCACATAGGCCATGGGCTGTTTCGGGTGAAGAACCGTTGCACTTTTGCTTGGTCTCGACACGGTTGCTGTTCTACAACATTGCAGTCACATTGCTGTTTAAGTGGGTATCTCACTGTTCCCAGCACAGCGCTCAGAAGCAGTGGCTTCAACAGACATCATAGGATACCATGTACACCCTTGGAACTGCAAAAGAAGAGGCCAGACTCCCAAAACGCTCAAGGAATTGCTTATAATTTCCACAGGGAAGTTGCATAACTCTATGGTGTGGCACCGTTTCCAAGCAGGAGGCCTGGGTGAACTCTCGGCTCATGATCCTTGCTCAGCAAGAGAGGTTTCCACTGGAGATTTTGAAAAGCCATTTGGAGGTGCCTGGGTTGGATGCAGACAAGCCCAGAAGGCTTTGGCACCATCTCCAGGGAGCTAGAAACTGAGATAAGCCGCTGACTAAGCTCGGCAAGCAGTGGTCTGGCATCTTTCACCACCAGCCAAGTGCATTGTTGGGAACGCACTTGGGTGTGCACACAAGGGGTGTCTAGTGGGACCCAGATTGCCCTGTGAATTCTTGGTGAAGCGTGCATGTTATTTTGCGCCTTCTCGACTACACCTTGTACATTTACATCTCTATCAAAATAATGAGCAGTAACAGTGGGCTGAGTTAAGGATGGAGTTAAATCACACACACACACACACACACACACACACACACACACACACCAGTGCTGCTGAGAATGGGCCATTATCTTGGTATGTCCAAATTGCCTCACTTTTTTAGCCCCTTAACGTTCTTCCAGGATAGTTGTTTTTCCTGTATGGAATTACCAGGCAACTTGCACACCGTTCTCCTCAGAAGCAGTTTAGCGAGACATTGATGTTCTCATCGGTCCGTTTTGTCAGAGCCATGGCAACAAACACCACTAACACGTGCTTAGTACCCAGAAAGGTCACAAACTCCAGCTGATGATGTGACAGACCACACTCTCTCCTTCGCTCCGTGTAGACCACACTGTCACACTTCACATGTTTCTGACTGGAAACATTTTCAGAAGCACATTCTCTGTGCCTCTGTAGAATTGAAATTTCCACTTGCGTTTGCCCACCCAGATATTAGAAATGCATGCTTAGCATAGTCTCTGACCAAGAACATCTTAAAGAAACCATTCTCTTTCACCATTTTTTTTTAATGAGCCCTGAATTAGTTTTAGGGTTTCAAGTAAAATTATTATAGCATCTTGTTACAATAAGGTCCTTTCCCGTTTCCACTGAGCACTCCACTCTAGACTGGAATATAGAAGAAGGGAACAATGGCTTCTTTTTTGTAGTAAATCTTTTTTCTCTCGTTGCTTTTGATTGAAGTTGCACAGGGTTTCTGGTACTGTGAATTTAAATAGAATTGAATCTACCTTATGAAGACTCTATTGGAAAGGCGGTGTGGTTAGTGGTAGGGCACTGGTCTGGATCTTAGGAGACCTGGGATCTATTTCTGGCTCTGGCACTGACTTTTGGCAAGCCACTATTCCCTACTGTCCCCTTATTTCCCCTCTTGATCCTTGTCTACTTGTCTTTGGGGCAGCAATGGGATCTTACTGTGTATGTGACAGGAGGCTCCAATCTCTACTGGGGATTGTCATGCAAATAAAAAATAATCATCCACATTAAACATTAGGTTATCTGAAAATAAATGCCTATGATACTAATAACAGTGTCTTTCTTCCAAAACAATCCCATAGTGCTTTGCAAATTATATATCCCTTTGAAATGCAGCCACCTCTTGGGAGAACCAAATGGAGTAGGGCAAGGAGCAGTAATTCCACGCAGTCAGGGAGGAGGTTAGAACCTAGCAACTCCAGTAGAGCATCTGTAAAAGGATACAATGAAACACCAAATGAAGAATTTGATGTACTAATGTGTTTTCAAATTAAATGTCAGAGAATAGAAAAAAAATTTTATTGAAACTGGCTGGACCTGACAGCAAAGGCCACCCAGAAGCCACAGCAGGTTCAACACGTGGTAGCCTACTTCCTACTCACGTCTAACTGATGGGAACATACTACACCAATGTTCCATGCCCTATTGTGCCTTCCTGTGCAATTCCAGGTCTGTTTCAGGATCCTTGGTCCTTATCTGAACCCTTAATGAGCAAGGCCAAGCTATCTTAAAGTCTGCCTCTGCTTCTGCACTTCCCAGTGCCAGCTGTGAAAGAAGGGCTGATGGTGCCAAATGTACAGCTCTAGGCAGGGGAGGATCCTGAACTGTGCAGAGCCCTACCACCCGAGAGCCATTGAACCACTGGCTAGGTCTACACTGGGGGGTGGGGGGGAGAATCGATTTAAGTTACGCAAATTCAGCTATGCGAATAGCATAGCTGAATTCGACGTATCCGAGCCGACTTACCCCGCTGTGAGGACGGCGGCAAATCGACCGCCGCGGCTCCCCCGTCGACGGCGCTTACTCCTACCTGTGCTGGTGGAGTATGCGCGTCCATTCGGGGATTGATTGTCGCGTCCTGACGAGACGTGATAAATCGATCCCCGAGAGATCGATTTCTACCCGCCGATCCAGGCATTATATCATTGTGACCCTCGATTTTGT